CAGAGAGAAAGCTGGGGCCTGTGGGTCCTACATGGGCTGCACCATTATGCTCCAAAATGCTGGCCCGGGAGTGGCAGACCCGGGGCCTGACACTGGGATCCTCAGCAAACTGCACCTACAGCACATCATTCAGCTTGGCCAGGGGCCTGCGGCTGGGCCCTGCTACTTAAGACACTACTTATGGCCTTGGCATGGCCATGAAACCCACACTTTCATGTCCTTTTGGCGCCAAGGTGACAGATCTCCTGTCTCAGGGACCAGAGACGAGGGGCTATGTCCTTTCATTGGACCAAATGGGGCATGTTATGCTATTTCCTATGCTGACTACTTTGCAGGGGAGAGAATCCAGATGAGGTGCACATGAAGAATAAATCTGTCTAATCCTGTTAAATAACTGAAGCCCTCGGATGCTGCTTCAAAAGGTCGACAGCTTCTCAGAGTGGCAATAATCATGTGTGGAACACAGCCATTGCTACCAGCTACACTTGTGGCTCCTGACATGAGTCTATTATGTGAATCTCTACATAACATCATATGTATTATAATATATGAGATAGGAAGAAATTTCTGAACCTGGTTTATGTAAGGCCAACACCCCTAACCAGCAGGAAATATCTAAAGAAGATGAGATGAATCTCTATTCCTCAGTGACCCTTAAGAATAGGGGTTGGAAATCTCTGGAGAGAATGAAATGGGAAAGACAGGGGGCAACTTAGACTCACAGATTGGAAGCCATTCCTCCCCAAGCCATGTGATACAGTCTGTCTACTCCCCTCACCCGGGACTGGATGTGATATCATGCAGCCGCTCCTGACAAGCCAGGCCACGGGGAGGGAGGCACCTTCTCTCCCTTCTGTATTCTCTCTGCTCACTGTATCTCTGAATGTTTCTGATTTCATCATCCTTTAAATAAACTTTATAAAAAGTGTGTGACCCTTATGACTAGTCTAAATCAAAGAGGGGATTTCCTAGCAGTGAATGTGAATCCCAATGTAACATTGTGTGGAGTTACTCTTATACTGGGACTCCTACAATTGAAATATGTGATGTAAACTTTATTATTGACATTGTCACATATAATGACACCACAGCATTCTTGCAAGTTATTCAGATGAGCCTCAGCTTTCCACGTGTAAACTAAGGCAGAGTACTTATTATCGACAACATATGCATTAGATCAGTGCCTCTGATCAAGATCAAAGATAAGTCATCTAGTTAATGATTTTTAAAGTAGAACCTCACAGTTGATGGGATTTTTTCATCTGGTTGAGGCTGGAATTTTGGGGACCATGGCTGGAGTGAATACTTTAGTTGTCCTTATTTTGTTTGCTGGTATTATCTTTAATTAAATGTTAAATGAGACAAATTGAGCATGTTTGGTCCCAGCCTTTGTTAGTCAGATTAATTAGGGTGTGTTGCTCTGGAAAAAATTGCCAAAAGCGAAGAAGTTGTAGCAACTAGAGCTGATCAGTATTGGGAAAAATTCTCTACACATTCTTTGCATTTCTGCACATCTCATTCATGCAGTACTAATTAGCCACTGGCTTTGTACTCTGCTTTCAAGGATACTGCCTCAGAAGACAGAGATCACGTTATTCTCCAGAGCAAAGTATGAGTCTTGTGTTCATTGTGAAAGATTGGAGTCTTGTTAATTAGTGCTTCTCTTTTGTAATTCACTCCACATCACGTATGGTTATTACCTACTATATTTGAACCACTCCCCGTCTAGAGCCAAGGTGCCAAGGAGAATGCTATTTCTGTAAATTAAAAAATATGAATTTATATTGACCCAGATGCCTCCTAATTTTTACCACTACTTATGAGGCTGTGGCAGGCTAGTATGTTAGTTTAGTAAATGTAGAAAGATAACATTTCAGGTATTTAATAGCTCTTGACAATTAGCATATCAAAATTAGCAGTCTATTAATGCAATAACCTATTACAATAAATCTGGGGACATTATAAGACTGTAAGAATGGTTTATCACTCAAAAGTCAATGTATTTCATCATATTAAAGAACAAATGGAGAAAAAATTGCTAGGTATATACATAAAAACATTTGTTACATTCAACAACCATATATAATTTTCAAACACAAAGATCTTTAGTAAACTATAAACAGAATAAAATCTCTTTAAGATGATAAGTATCTATGAAAATCTTAATTGGAAAATTGTTACTGGTGTAATATTGAAAAGTTTGTAAGATAAGATCCTTCCAATGTCATTAATACTATTATGCATTATGTTAAAAACCTTGAAATACGGGACACGGTCAAATCAAACCAAACTAGACTTAACAAAAGCAAAGAGAACAAAGGAAGAACTCCTTAAATAGATAAAAAGCACGACCAGTAAAAAGAATAATAAAGCTATCATTTTTTGCAAAGACATGGCAGTGTTGGCAGAATAACACAGAAGCAGTGACAACTTAGAATTAATATATTAATGTAGCAATTTAGTTCACTACAAGATAGATACACAAAAATTGTGATATTTTGCTAGCAATTAAAATAAGAAATTCAAATAAAATGATACCACTGGAAATAGCATAAACACACACACACACACACAAATCAAATACCTGAGAACCTATTTGAGGAAAATAAAAATTAAGTATATTATTAAAAACTCTCTCAAACACTGACCTGCGATGCAAAATGTATGGAACCACCAGAATGCCTCAATGCTGACAGATGGAATGTAAATTTGCACAATTATTTTGAAATATTTTTGACAATGTTTCCTTGAAGAACAATAGTTCTACTCTTATGCTTTGCAACTACAAGTGTATACTTAAGCTCACAAAGGAAATGCACGGGAATGTTCATTGTAGCACCGTTTATAATGTCACTGAACTGGAATGAACTCACAGGCTCCTTAATAGACTTCTACATATGTGTTGATACATGAACACGGAGCAAAGGTTAGGCATTTTTCTCTTTTGTTTTAGATCCAGATAGCAAACACATTCTTATGCAATGGAGTCTGTCAGAATGCCCCTATTTTCCCAGTGTAGCACAAAAACAAACATATAGAATAAAATGATGAATGAGTTTGGAAATATTCCAATGAAATCTTTATTTGTGGATGATGACATTTGAAATTTCATGTACTGTACACAAGCCCAAAATTATCATTCTTCTTTTGTGTTCCTTTCAATTATTTAACAACGTAGAGGGTGGGCCCTGCGGCACTGCAGGTTAGCCCACTGCTTGAGATGCTCATGGGAGTGCATGTTCAAGTGCTGGTTGCCCTACTTCCAACACAGATTTCTGCAAATGTGTCCTGGGAGGCAGGGGATGATGGGATACGTTTGGGCCCTTGACAGCCACATGAGCCATCCACATGGAGATCTGGCTCCTGGCTTCACTCTGATGCAGATCTGTTGTGCAGGCATTTGTAGGATGAACCAGAGGATGAAAGGTCTTTCTCCTCACCCACCTCACAGCTCTATAAGTGGAAGGAAAAATATAAGCATTAAAAAATGCAAATGTAGAAATGATGTTTTCACTGATACGCACACAGGTAGTGAGCTGATTGTATCAACTCTTGATATAGATGAATACTGTATATAGATGAGAAGGAAGAAAACGGCAACTACAGACAACGATATGGAGGAATCTTTAAAAACAACGTTCAGTGCATGAAATTACAAAAGGGAGCAAAACAGTGTGACTTTTCTTACACAAAATTCATAACAGGCAATACAAATCCATCGTGTTAAAAGTTACTCAAATGGCTGATGGCTGCCGCAGGTGGAGGAGCGGAGCTAGGCTTATTTCAGAGCTGACACGTCACTTTGGCCTCAGCCCGGAACTGGAAAGGGCCACAGGAGGAAGGCACGTCATTGGATTAGCAGGGCTCCGACCGGCCAATGATGAGCCTAATTAGCCTAATTACCTAATTAGGACTTAAACAGAGCCTGTGCCAAGCTCTGCGTTGGAAGGGGTATAAACCCTCCTGCACATCCCTCTGCCTGCCTTTGTTCCCCCGCAGTTCTTCAGATTTTTCTCTCTCCTGTCTCCTCTTTCCCGCCGAGTGGGGTAAAGGCCCGAGGGCGGATCTCAAATAAAAGCCTCTGTACACCTTTTTGTTTTTACAATCAGCTGATGTTTTCTTTTCATGGGCGATTGACAAATGTAAATGTGGTTACATCTGGTAAAAGATAATAAGTAGAATGATGGGACCTTTGGAAATGCCATTATTCTGTCATGACGTGTATGCTGGTTACAAGTCATGGTGGCCTCGGGAAGATGTACCGCCTCTGCCCTGTCATGTGTGTTCACGTGTTGCTGTGCCTAATAAAACTTCAAAATGCATGTATTTTAAAATTCTGCTGTCTTAATTTTTTCTTTAGAAAAGGAGATTTTTCCTTTCACTGAATAAAATCTTTAGCAATACTAAGATTATTCTACTCTCTTGGGTAAGAGATGGTACTGTGTGAATTTTGGCTCTGATTCATAAATGTTCACATGTCTACAACAAATTGATCTGCATTAAAAGGCAAGCTTCCTTCATTTCAACCACCAAATTGTCTATATAGATTTACTGCCTGGTTTCAGTCACTTTTATTACTCTCATGATCCTGATTTGCCACTAATTCTTCATTTGAGTTGAAGCACAGAGATGAATGAGTCAGGCAGTTCTGAATTGGCTGGTATTGTTACATGGCTTTGGACTTGTGGGAACCTCAGATAAACAGTATCTCACAGTGAGAGTCACAGGGTTTTGAAAATTGTGCTGGTAGGACCCGTCAGCTGCAGCTCGAGCGATCGTAATGTATGCTTTGCCCAGCCTTAGTTACACCTTTGGTTTCTGGCTCTCCCATTGTCTATTTTGCACAACTTGCTCCTTTGGGCCCCTGTGGAGTAACTCAAACATTCCCATTGTCCTTTTCAGAATCTAGTACAGTCATCAGCCTTAGGTAAGTCCTACTACTTACCAGGTCTACCCGCTTTAGGAAAAGGACACTTTCCTTATGCGGGGCTGAGGCGACGGGGCCTGGCGAGGCGGGGCCGGCGGGAGGCCGGCGGGCGGCGAGCCAGCTGGACGAGGCCCCGCCATGGACCAGGACTACGAGCGACGCCTGCTGCGGCACATTGTCACGCAGAAGGAGAACACCATGCCCTGTGTCTCTGAGCTGCGGTGCACGCTGACGCCCTCCAACTCGCCGGTGTCCTCGCCCAGCAAGCACGGGGACCGCTTCATCCCCTCGCGGGCTGGGGCCAACTGGAGCGTCAACTCCCACAGAATCAACGAAAACGAGAAGTCTCCCAGCCAAAACCGGAAAGCCAAGGACGCCTCCTCGGACAGCGGCAAAGATGGCCTGGCCTACTCGGCCCTGCTCAAGAACGAGCTGCTAGGTGACGGCATCGAGAAGGTGCAGGACCCCCAGACCGAGGACCGCCGGCTGCAGCCCTCGACACCCGAGAGGAAGGGGCTGTTCACATATTCCCTCAGCACCAAGCGTGCGAGCCCCGATGATGGCAACGACGTCTCCCCCTACTCCTTGTCCCCCGTCAGCAACAAGAGCCAGAAGCTGCTGCGCTCGCCGTGGAAGCCAGCCCGGAAGATCTCTAAGATCCCTTTCAAGGTGCTGGACGCGCCCGAGCTGCAGGACGACTTCTACCTGAACTTGGTCGACTGGTCCTCGCTCAACGTGCTCAGCGTGGGCCTGGGCACCTGCGTCTACCTGTGGAGCGCGTGCACCAGCCAGGTGACCCGGCTGTGTGACCTCTCTGTGGAAGGCGACTCGGTGACCTCGGTGGGCTGGTCCGAGCGGGGGAACCTGGTGGCCGTGGGCACACACAAGGGCTTCGTGCAGATCTGGGACGCGGCGGCCGGCAAGAAGCTGTCGGTGCTGGAGGGCCACACGGCGCGTGTGGGGGCGCTGGCCTGGAACGCCGAGCAGCTCTCGGCCGGCAGCCGTGACCGTGTCATCCTGCAGCGGGACATCCGTTCGCCACCGTTGCAGTCCGAGCGGCGGCTGCAGGGCCACCGGCAGGAGGTGTGCGGCCTCAAGTGGTCCACGGACCACCAGCTGCTGGCCTCGGGGGCAACGACAACAAGCTGCTGGTGTGGAACCACTCGAGCCTGGCGCCGGCGCAGCAGTACACGGAGCACCTGGCGGCGGTCAAGGCCATCGCCTGGTCCCCGCACCAGCACGGGCTGCTGGCGTCGGGTGGCGGCACGGCCGACCGCTGCATCCGCTTCTGGAACACGCTCACGGGCCAGCCGCTGCAGTGCATCGACACGGGCTCGCAGGTGTGCAACCTGGCCTGGTCCAAGCACGCCAACGAGCTGGTGAGCACCCACGGCTACTCGCAGAACCAGATCCTGGTGTGGAAGTACCCGTCGCTGACCCAGGTGGCCAAGCTGACCGGGCACTCCTACCGCGTCCTCTACCTGGCCATGTCCCCCGATGGGGAGGCCATCCTCACTGGTGCTGGAGACGAGACGCTGCGCTTCTGGAATGTCTTTAGCAAAACGCGCTCCACGAAGGAGTCCGTGTCTGTCCTCAACCTGTTCACCAGGATCCGGTAAAGCCGGGACCTCCGCGCCCTCGGCCTGCGTGGCCCCGTGCTCCCCGCACGCGGCCCAGGACCGGCGGCGGCCGGGTGGGGGGAGCTGGCCCGGAGGGAGCCGGGGAGTCCGATTAAACACCTGATTGTGAGCCGCGGCCACCGTGTCTGGGGGGACTGGGGACCCTCGGACCACCGGGCACGGACCCCACGACCTCCGGCATCCGCTCCCCGAAGCACACAGCCCATCGCTCGAGGAGCATCGGACCAAGTGCAGGACGCCAGCTGCCGTCGCGGCCGTAACCTTGAGGACTCGTGGTGTGGACTTGTCGCGGTGGCCAGAGTGCCCCCACGGGAACGGGCGCTGTGCGTGTGCTCCCTTGAGTTTGGGACCTAGCTGGGGTCTGTGGCTGGAAGCGGGGTCCTGGAGCCGAGCTGGCCGATGAGGGCGACCGTGACCCTGACAGCCAGCGGGGCCACGTGGGCGGGGTGAGCCAGGGTGAGGATGATGGCTCTGCTGGGTGGGGGCGCCGAGCCCCAAGGAAGGAGGCGGCCAGATGTGGGGTGTAGGGGACGAGAGCAAGTGGGGAGGGGCCGGGACCCCGGGACCTTCCTCCAGGCGAGGCGGGGACCGGGGTCACGGGCAGAGGAGCAGTGAAGGATGGGCAGGGTGCGAGGGGGCTCAGGCCCCCCCCGGCCCGAGCAGGTAGGTGGGCGGGAGGAGGCTGGCCCGTTGTGTTTACATATCTCTGTGGTGAAATACACTGACACAACACGCCAAAAAAAAAAAAAATGCCCCATCTCTCATGTTGTGTAAATGTGTGATGTAGGTGGGAATTTACACATGGCATCCATTCTTTCCAAATGAATGTTTTTATGAATTGTCACACTAAACCAGCTCCTGGCCCTTTTAAAATAATCTTGGTGGAAAGGAAATTTTAGAGTTGTACACCCAGGGTCTAGATGTGCCTTTGAAAAGGTCCAGGTCTGCCTACGGGTTATTCCCCAACTCATTTGGTGCCACAACTCCCTTAAACATCGTGTGGTGAAAACGATTCTGAACTGTAAGAGAGAAGTTATTCACAATCTTAATAAGTTATTAGGAAAATTGCACTGATTTCCAGAACTACTGTGTAAGATAAAATACTTCTTTAATTATACCAAGATTCACAGGAACATTTAATGATTCCTAACTACAACAAACTTATTATTCTGAATCTATGCTAGGTTGGTAAAAAAATTATTATTTTTATTTTAACCCCTATTGCATTTATCTGTTTCGGCGAGGTTGAACACCCTGTTCATATTCACTTATAATGACTTTGTTTAAAAATGTTGATTATTCTGCTTCTGAAGATTTGGCTGCCTATGTCTATAGATCATCACAATGAAACCAGCTAAAAATACTGGGATTTTTTTTTTTTTTTGGACTCTTGTGTTTCTAGATCTATTATTCGGATGAAAGAACTGAAACTATTTTGTGAATTCAAACAAACTTTTGGTTCTCAAATTTTCTCAGAGTCTGAAGTCTATTCTTAAAAATACTTTATGGGTCCAACATGGTAGCCAGCGGCTAAAGTCCTCACCATGAACGTGCCAGGAGACATAACTCGTATACATGAACAATCACTAAGAAAGTCAGCACCTAAATTTAGAAATTATACCATAACCCTGACACAGTAGCACTTATGACAATTCTTGTTAACATGAGAAGAGCAGTCTGATGTCAAATGTTTAGATGCGCTGGCTGGAGGGATGGAAAGTCACCTGCAGAGATGGGAGTGTCAGTAGTCACACTGCCGGTAGCCCTATATTACATCCTACCACGGTTTCTTCCAACAGACAAGCTTTTCAGTCTGCTCCTACATGTCTACAACTGGCATTATTGACACTATATCTATGAACAAGCTGGATGGTCACTTTTGCTCCAGTGAAAATTATTGCTAAAGTAAATTCTATTTAAATGCACTATGAAACTTTAATCAAAGTTCTTTCTGAAGGCACTATGAGATGCAATGCCCAAAATGTGTCATTCAAAAATGTTAATTTTTGACCATGCTGTTTGTAGCAGCAAAACTGACCTTTCAATGGAAGCATTTAGCTTCATTATTCAGGTGATCATCCTTCCATTTAGGCCAAGTCAGTTCTAACTGGACTCCTATACTGTGTTGGCATATGCACATCATGTGCTTGCCCATTTCATGAAGTGAATGAAAAGAGAGATGCTGTTCTACTAAGAATCTGAAAGATGCCCTAGATTCATTTTTTATGATATTGTCCCATAGGCTTTTGGATTTTCCCTTTGCCCCTCACCAAAACTCCTCCCCCAACTGATCTCCCTTATATTATTACAATAGCATAATCCTTCATAGATAGTTATAAGTACACCATTCTGCTACTTAAGTGTACCTTGACATTGTAGGTATGGGAATGGCAGAGAGGTCAGCATCCTGTTGTCAAGATATATTTAACAGTTTCACTGAAAGTTTCAGCTTTGCTTTGAAAATAGACATGCATTCTGCCTTGTATCTTCACATCTCAATATGACAGTCTGTATTGTACAGTTCCTCTAGATGACTTATTGCACATGCATGTTTAGCTATGTCTCTATTGATGTATTTTTGCATGAAGATTGCCTTATCTCAAAAAGCATATGATTTTTGTCCTTTTGGGGTTGCCTTATTTCACTGTGTATAATGGTCTCTATTTGGTATCATTTGGAGGCAAACAATAGGATTTCATTCTTTTTAATAGCTGAGTAGTATTTCATGGAGTAGATATATCACAGTTTCTTTATCCACTCCTCTTTTGATGGGCTTCTGCGTTGTTTCCCTATCTTTGCTATTGTAGATTGTACTGTAGTAAATAAAGGATTACAGATCACTTTCTCATATGCAGATTTCTTTTCCTTTGGATATATTCTCAGAAGTGGGATAGCTGGGCCATACAGCAGATCAAATTTCAATTCACTTCGCACTCTCCAGACTGACTTCATCGTGCTTGTACTAGTCTACACTACCTACAATAGTGAAAGAGGGCACCTTTCTCCCCACATTCATACCAGCAAGTGTTGTTTGTGGAGCTCTGAGTGCAGCCCGATCTGACTGGAGTTAGGTGGTACCTCAATGTGATTTTTGTGTGTGTGTGTGTTTCTCTGACAGCTAGGGAGCATGGGCATTTTTTTCGCATATCTATTAGCCATTTGAATTGGTTGGAAAATGTTTGTTCAATTGCTCTCTCCATTTATTCACAGGGTTGTTTGTTTTGTTGTCTTTGAGTTTCTGAAGCTCTTTGTTAATCCTATCTGTCGTGCAGTATGCAAAGGTTTTCTCCCATTCTGTTGGTTGCTTCTCACCTTGTTGAATGTCTCCTTTGCTGGTGACGCTGCCATTGCTGATCTGATTCCTTGTGAGCCTATATATGATAAGAAAATCCCCAACCATTTTACTCTTAGCTGTTTTGCTGTGCAAGGTAAGAGAATGACAGATGCTGGATTGTTATTAAAAAAGTGAACAAGAAGCCTTCGCAGAGCTTTCTGAAGGTAAATTAGTATTATCAGTAATACTGACTACCCATTTGTATTAATAGCAGATTAATCTCAGACAATTAGTCACAAGTATGACCATTACATTTGCTATTTCAAGAATTGGTTAAGGATGACAATCCATCCTAAAACCTGCAGAAATAAAGATCTTGTGGATCATTTCTCTGTGTGTTTTATGTAAAAACCATTTTAAGTTGATATTTTTAATGTCAAGAACTTGGCAAAAATCTGTCACTGAATTTTTGAGATGTATTAAACAAAATGTACTGACAATAAAACTCTTAGTTTATTGTTTATCATCCATCTGTTTGTCAATTGGAGCTGTGTCGGTTTGTTTTCTTCTTTGACTTTGGCTATCTTGGTCCTTATTCCCCATATTTCCAATCAGGGTTCAGTCGTGTCATGGTTGAGCTGTTTCTCCCCTCTTCTAGTTTGCATTTTAGTTTTGCAGTGGAGTAGTGTTTTGTCCTCAGTTGAGTGAGCTCAGCGTTATTCATCACATTTCATTGGTGTGATGTCTCATCTTGTTTCATTGATTTCATTTTCTTTACAGTTTTTCTTTCAACAATACAAATGTTAAAGAATGTTTTTCTCTTTTACCCATATTTGAATATTTGTAAAATTGAATATTCTTTCATTCCCCACCCTTGCAGTTGGCATAACTATGTTTCTCTTAATCTTTCATAACTAAAAAAGGAAATTACATTTAAATCTTCCATTTGCCCATGAATATAAGGAGTACCTTGGTCTAGGTTCATTTTGCTTTGTCTAAGATCAACTGGAATTCCATTTAGAGCAATTGATGCTGGCTCTTCTTCCAGCCTGTTTTTTTTATTTTATGGTTCAGAGAAGAAGAAATAAGATACAACTAGGGATGAAATCAATAGTTACTGGAAAATTCTTTGATAGTTGTAATAAAATCGCATATTTGTATTTAATCCACTATTGTATTTATTAAGGGTCACTATATCACACAGAACTCAACCAGAGAAGCATGGACCACGGGATAAATGCTTACAAAATGCTTGAAAATATTCCTAGGAATATGGGAGTAAAAGGTAATGAACATATTTTCTTTTTTAATTTATTTTTTAAAAGATCTATTTATTTTTATTGGAAAGGCAGATATACATATACATATGTCTGTTAACCATTTGGATTATGCTTGTATCTTCGATTTGAGAACAGAAAACAAGCTGGGGAGAAAAGTTGGTCTCTTCTACAAATGCTGATGGGACAATTGGGTAGCAGTGTACAGAAATAAGAAACAAGGTCCTCATCTTCCACCATACACAAAGATCAAGCCTAAATGAACAAAGGATCTAAAGCTACACCCAGAAGCCATCAACTTTTGGAAGAGAATGTAGAAAATATTCTATAAGATACAAGCATAGACAAAGACTTCCTAGAAAAATCATCAAAAGCACGGGTAGTCAACACCAAAATAAATAAATGGAACTCTATCAAACGAAGACGCTCCTGCACAGGAAAGGAAACAATCAACAAAGCAAGAAGCAACCAACAGGATGGGAGAATATCTTTGCACATTGAACAACAGATAGGGTGCTAATGTCCAAGATACACAAAACTCTAAAGACAAAGTCACAACAAAACAAACAAGCCACTGGGCAAAGGAAACGAGCAGACACTTGTCAAAGGCGTAAATCCAAATGGTTAACAGACATGAAAAACTGCTTCAGCTCCCTAGCAATAAAAAAAATACAAACAAAAACAACAATAAGGTTATCACTTAACCCCAATGAAAATGACCTACGTACAGAAAACTACCAAGAACACCTGCTGGCAAGGATGTGGGGGAAATGATATACTCCACTGCTGGTGGAACTGCAGACTGGTGCAGCCACTATGGAAGTCGGCATGGAGAATATTCAGGCAACTGAAAATTCTCCTACCATATGACCTAGCAATCCCGCTCCTGGGAATATATTCAAAAGAACTGAAGCCTACACATGAGAAAGCAACTCGTACCCCTTATTTCATTGCAGCACCATCAACAATCACACAAACATGAAAACAACCTGGATGCCTTTTGAAAGAGGACTGGATAAAGAAACCACGCTATATCTATTCTATGGAATACTATTCAGCTATTAAAAAGAATGAACTTACACTGTTTGCAACCAAATGATCCTAATTGGAAACCACTGTGCTCAGTGAACTGAGTTAATACCAAAAGGACAAATATCATATGTTCGCTCTGATATAAGACAACT